TCCTATAATGTTGTCGCTATGCTGGAGGAGACCCTGGGGGTCAAAGTCACAGTAATGACCATCGACTCGGAATGGCCCGATTCCAATATGAATGAGTTTCTCCAGCACTACGAAGCTGTCGTTCTTGGACCAGGACCGGGAGACCCCAACGTGCCTACTGATGTCGGTATCATGAGAGACATTTGGAACCTTCATGACTCAAAACTCCTTCCTGTTTTTGGTATTTGTCTGGGTTTTCAAAGCCTCTGCCTTCACCACAGCGTTCCTATCGAGAGGCTCCCGTACCCTATTCATGGCCAGATTCACAAGATTTCCACGTTAGCAAAAGATATCTTTGAACATCTACCAAAGGTAGAGGTGACGCTTTACCACTCACTCTACGCTAACTCGGCTTCTTCAACATCGACCGATTTGGAATATTTGGCTTGGTTGTCTCTAGAGGACCGCTCGGAAGCACAAATACCCATGGCAGTTCGCCATCTCAAGAAGCCATTCTGGGGTGTTCAGTTCCACCCGGAGTCTTGCAAATCAGAAATCAATGCCTGTAAGGCACTTCTCCGAAATTGGTGGAAGATGGCTCTTGGATACAACAAGATTGTTGGACGCGGGGGATATTGTTCCCTTCCCAGCACAGTCATCAGCCCCCTTGCAGCCCCCAGTCCCTTCCCTGATGCTGCTTATGAAATGCTCAACTGGAGCAAGTCAACTTCGAAGATTTCGGCTTCCCGGTCCCTTGACCGGCCTGACTTGACCGCAGAGTCTATAAGTGAAGCGTTCAACAAACCAGGTTCGCCAACAGTCCTTTTTAAATCCAACGGCCAATACAGCATCGCTTCGGTGCCGAGTCCTGGCTCATGGCGTTTGGAATACAATGTTGATACACATAAACTTCGATTGCTCCAACTGTATGGCGACTGCAAAGAGACTGAGAGTTATCTTACCGTTGCTCAGTTATGGGATGCCTTACGGTATTTGATGGAAATGAAGAAAGTTGATTCAGGAAACTCTCAAGTGCCATTCTGGGGTGGCTTCCTGGGTTATCTCTCTTACGAACTTGGTCTTACTTGTCTTCCTCATCCGGGCCATGCGCAGGCTTCCCAGTCACGAAGGCCCCCCAGCAGCGGGGAATCTTCATGTGATCCTTCCTTTGCGGATCCACCCGATGTCAGTCTTCTGTGGTGTGAACGAAGTATCGTGGTTGACAATACTACTGGCACCGTTGTTATTCAATCCACCCGCGATGCTGATACGGGTTGGCTTGATGAGACACTGCAGCAGCTGCAAGGCTTTTCTGACAGTGGCAATGATACATCTGCGGATCGGGGCTTGGATTCAATTCTCCGGGAAAGCAAAATTCAGTTCCCCGAGGAAAAGGAATATAAACGGCAAATCGAGTCATGCCAAGCGGAACTGGAAGCAGGTGAATCTTATGAACTATGCCTAACATCTGAGACTTCAATCACCTTGCCAGTTCCAGAGGTGGAGTCGGATCGTTTGGTATTCCCCTGGAAGCTGTATAGGCGACTCAAAACATACAACCCAGCTGCATTCAGCGCTTTCGCAGATTTGGGAGATACCAAGATCGCTAGCAGCAGTCCAGAATGTTTCCTCAATTGGGACCGTGAATCGACGCTGGAGATGAAGCCAATGAAAGGCACAGTACGAAAATCACCAGATATGACCATGGAAAAGGCCTGTGAGATCCTCGGCTCGACGAAAGAGATGGCCGAGAACCTGATGATCGCGGATTTGATCCGACATGATCTGTATGGAATCTGCGGATCAGGTGGCGTCCATGTCGAGAAGCTGCTCGAAGTCGCAGATTACGGCCGAGTCTACTCAATGATCACCCACATTAAGGGCAAGATTCGCCCCAACCACCCTGGTTTCGCTGTGCGACATATGTCTCAGCTGAATACCCCCAACATGTCCGTTCACGGCCTGACTACCCTCCAGCGGTGCCTCCCGCCGGGTTCTATGACTGGTGCACCCAAGGAACGCTCTTGCATGCATCTTCGCACGATTGAGAATCGCAAGCGTGGCATTTACTCCGGTGTGATGGGTTTCCTGGACCTTGGCGGAGGTGGAAGCTTCTCGGTTTTGATTCGCTCGGCATTCACTTGTTCTAGTGGTCGAGATTACACCGAGAATAAGCAGCAGACCTGGCGAATCGGCGCCGGAGGTGCTATTACCACACTCAGCACAGCGGAGGGCGAATGGGATGAGATGTTGACCAAACTGCGTGTGGTTTGCAATGTCTTCACGCCGCTTGATGCAGGCGAGAAATTGGCTACAACATCTTAACTACTCGATGGAGTTTTGATCATTGGCCATTATGACAGTTATGCGTGGTCGCATTATGATCGACGCTTTTCCTTGCTTTCAACATCTGGGTCCATGCGTTGGGATAGAGATTCGATTCAAAATTCGGCGCTGGCGTTTTGAGTTGCCTTTTGGTATTGTATATGTACCTTGAATTTTGTCTATAAAATCCATTCAACGACTATAGAAATTATAAATACAGATATTCACCACTCCCTCAACTGATCTTCCCCGTCGTCATCGTCGATTGTCAAGATGCAAACAAAACAAACATCATTTTCTCCGCAGCTTCAACTTCCGAGCTGCGTCTTTCCTTTAACCTCTTTCGCAATTTTCAAAAATAAAAGCTTGTTGAGAGCTTCGATAGACCGGAGTTGACTTGGTCTATTATTCCAGAGTCCTAAATGGCGAGCCAAGATGCCTCAATGGAGGAGATCCTCTGGCGGTCTCCCCCGCACGTCCAGATGATGGGGGGATTCCTTCATTCCAACAACAGTGAGTTGCACACATTACCACACCTGGACGTGAGGTTAATTTTTCTCAATTAGTTCTTTTCTATTTTGCCGAATCACCTTTCTTTGATTCGACGTCCAACAACGCCTCGCTCGCCATCCAAGCCAACTACAACGATGCCTTCCGTCATTTTGTCGAGACGCGCGAAGCTTTCGAAGCCCGACTGAAAACAATGCAGGGTCTGGAGTTTATCGTGTCATATGACCCCCTCCAAGCAGCTGCACAGACAGACAACCGCTTCGCCCATGAGCCATCCAACATCTGGGTAATCCGCAAGCAGAACCGGCGGAAGAGGAGTGGCATGGACGACGAGGTGACCGTGATATCTACATACTTTGTTGTTGGCGACTGCATCTACATGGCCCCTTCAGTCGCGAGTGTAGTGGGCAACCGAATTGTATGTATACTCTCCGAACTCACCAACCGCCGCTCCGAGACAAGTATTCTAATGAATCCTTTCCCCGCAGCTATCAGCCGTCACATCCCTAACCCAGCTCATGAAATCCGCCGCGACATTACCAACATTCACCGCATCCCACGGACACACCTACTTGCCACCGGGAGTCCGTAGCAAAGAGTCCACCGGAAACAGCCAAGCCTCCCAGAGCAAAGAAGCCACACCCATGCCAGACGTATCCTTCCAAACCACCGAATCCTCCCAATCGACCAGTAAATCAAGCCTGGGCGGCTCAACTACAAGCTCCAACTATCAAGATACGCGCAGTCTAGCCGAATCATTCAGTCTGCTCACTCGTTACGGCGACGAATTCATGGACGAGAACCCCCTCGTCGGCGAACCAGGCTCGTTCATCCTATCACGGACTGGCAGCGAGGCCACTGGCTCGGCTGCTAAAGCCGTGCCGAAAGTCGCTACTGCGGCGCCGACTGGTACGCCTTCTGCCCTACCTGTCAGGGCGTCGACGCCGCAGGTCCGCGTCGAGACCCCCGGTAAGGTTTCTGAGAAGAGTACTTCACCGCCTAGCTCTGCTGGTGATAAGGGGAAGAGGAAGAAGAGTCGGATCGTTAGCTGAGTTACTTTTTTGATACCCCTTTCTTGTTGCACATCTGGGCGTTTGGGTTGGGCATAAACATTTACGGGGACTACTGCGTTGGTATCTAGGAGGTGGCTATCAGCTGCGTTTGACGTAATCTACTGATTGTTGAGTTCTGATTTGTTATCTCCCAGAGCATTTAAACGCTGTAGCTCATCTTTCTCTTTTTTTGGGACGCTACTTGGGGATAATTCTCATGGATTCTTGACATTGCTGCCGTGCTTTACAATGAGAGCCCACGCATTTAAAATCAGATATGGTGCTCGGAAGTGAGATAAGTTAAGTCCCTGGACGCTTGGTACCACTCCAGTCCGAAAACCCTCCTTGTCAAGCCAATAGTCAATATCCTCATCACTATCCCACATACTAGCGGGTAACGAGTACACTTGTTACCATTCATGGATGTTATCAGTTACGGTACAGTAAACCCCGGTTATAATGATCTTGGATATAACGAAATCCTGGGTATGACAATCGGAAACCGGTGCTTGAATTAAACTATACGAAGGTATTGGACCATGGATTAACGAATACCTGGATATAACGGACTTTTTGCCGTGTTTAGAATAGTTGTAAAAGGGTTTCCTGTACTCTCCGTACTAAAGTCTACACACTGGCCAGGACCGGCACCTAACAATAGGCAGTTGCATGATTATCTGTTCCTTTAGGTGAGAAAATAGCCCACGGTCCACTGCGATGAAACAAGTTCATGCAAGTATGTTCTGGCAAGACAGTTGATTGCCTTGATCTGCACTCGCTGTCAAACCGCGTGTATGCTAATTTTAGAATTACCGCCAGTGCGGAGGCGAGTACAGGTGGTATTCACTCTGTGGTCTCAAGCAGGAGCTTCTCAATGGGCATCGTTTGGGGACGAATGGCTGATCCTTTAATTCGGCGGCTATATTAGAGCTGTTTACTGGGCACATATGTATCATCGCTTTGGCGTTCAATGTCACGATGGCCGGATTCGCAGTTATTTTAAAAAAGCCAGCGGACGCCTGCAATTCGGTTCAAATCATCCTTTCAAATTCTTTTATCTCGCTGAGATACTCGCTCAATTTACCCTTGCTGCAGGCTATTATTTAAACTTACATACCCGTTAAATCTCACAGTATGGTCGCCTACACCCCGTCACTGCACGTCAACCCTGGTTTTCTCAACACATTGCAGTTGGTCAAGCCCCACAACATAGAGACAGCCCAAGCCGTCTGGCAGGTAACAGTGACCGAGTGGTTCCCTGGCCGTCATGGCTACAAGTTTGTCTTTGGAGGTTCTACGCCTGCCAACAATAACATGCCGGATGTCACCGTTATCCAAGTCTGGGCAGTGGTTCAGAATCCTTCAGCTTCACAGAGGTGGGCCGAACGCCAAATCTTACTAGTCGAATGCAAGTGCCCATTAAGCGACACTCCGTTGTGCTGGGACGATACTATTAGTCAGTTCGAGCATGATCTCGCAAAAGCCTCCGAAAGACTGTTTGGAGCAGTTGCTATTGGCAAAGAAGCCAGGTTCTACCGATTCGATGGAACGAAACCGCCCGGTTATAGACTGGCTCAACTTCACCAGGGCACCTTCGATATGGGTAACCCAAATGGTATCACGCAGGTCGAGAATATGATGAACTATATCAAGGCATATACATGGCAGTGGGCAAGCCCATAGGTAGATAGGGTCTAGTGTTTCCAGAATAGTGTGTGATTGCTCGTTATATTCGTTTGGCTCCAGTTAGTTCTAGTTCGGGTGGAGGACGAGGTGGTTGCTGTATTTATCATATTTTGGCAACAAATGATGGAGGAATAAACCAACGATGTGAGAGTATCAGTCACGTTCAATGGTCCGTGAAAAAGCTACTAAACTAATATTGTAACGCCTCAAGTTTATATTCAGAACCTAGAGCTGTTATCAGTTCGCCATTACTCGCCACTTACTAGAGTTGAAGAATCCATGGGTATATTAGGTTTCCATATACATTATTGAAGCGATGACCTATAATTTCTCCAAGTAGCTCTTCAAACTAAGTCCAGTGTGTATGGAATCTAAATATAGTTGGTCTTCCAGGTACAACCTAAAAGTATAGATCTGTGGCTACTTTATTTCGATCACAGCTCATTTTGCTTCTGTTATCCTGTATAGCCTGTGAAGCCCTAACAAAATGGGTTATATAACAGACTATATAGTAGTGAATGCTAAGTGTTCCTACAAAAGCCCAACTACACCCTAAAACCTGCTGTACACAAGCCATATCCAGTCCGAACTCTCGAGTTGTTTTAACTTAGAGTGACTGGACCCTCACAAACAAACCATCGAGCTCCGGTATATATTACAGATTGAGATATTCATTTGTAAACCTACAATTGTAGCTACATAAAGAACAACTTCGAAGAGCAAAGTTGGAGTCACCCCTGACGTTATACTTCGCTATCTCTTATCGGAGTGGGGAGTTTCCCTGTTTGGTCCCAGGTCCCCTTTGCCTCCTCTCTTCATTCTCCTCCGATCAAGGCCCTTTCAAAACCTCTTATTTGTTCATACAATCGTCTGTTCATATACTCAAACCCCAATTATATACCAACATGACGGACTCAGAGACCAAACCAGCCGTCGTCTGTGTGTTGTGAGTCATACCCCTCACCACCACTCGGGCACTTTCACGCCTACCAATCTGGCGCATGTGGCCCGAGAGCCCACGTATTCCATCTTCCTCCTTCTTCCTTGAGCAATTGAACTAACAAAACCTCTCGGGTCCCAGCTGCGGCTCCGTGCCAGGCAACAGCCCAGTACATATGGAAGCAGCCCGAGCCCTCGCCGTAGAATTCCACAAGCACAACGTGCAACTAGTCTACGGCGGCGGTACAACTGGCCTAATGGGCGAAGTTGCTCGCGCGCTCGTCTCGCTCTCGGGCCCGAAAGCCGTGCACGGCATCATCCCCCGCGCCCTGGTCAAAGTCTCAACAGTCAACGGCATGCGCGAGCACACAGAAGGCCAGGTCGGTTCCAAAGTAGCGGGCAAAACCGCCGAGCGGGTCGTCGACTCTGTTGATGCTGTTAAGGCGGATGGAATTCCCGAGTCGGAGTACGGCCTCACGACGATTGTTGCCGATATGCACACGCGCAAGCGTCTGATGGCGACGAAGGTCCTTGAAGGTGGGCCTGGGTCTGGGTTTGTTTCGCTGGCTGGTGGGTTTGGTACTATTGAGGAGGTTATGGAGATGACGACTTGGAATCAGTTGGGGATTCATCAGGTTGGGGTTGTGTTGTTGAATATTAATGGGTACTGGGACGGGTTGTTGGCTTGGGTGCGTAATGCTGTGAAGGAGGGGTATATCAGTGCTAGTAATGGGGAGATCCTTGCGGAGGCCAAGGAGGTTTCTGAGGTCTGGCCGAAGTTGCGGGCTTATCAGGTTAGTAATGGGCGGATGCGGTTGAACTGGGGAGAGGAGTGAAGCTGCTCTGTTTGATCATCAAACGAATGGGGCAGTATATAGATGTCGTTGCCTTTGGCTGGTTTTCATTTCGGGTTCGTTTGGGTTTCGGCAGTGGAAAACTTCAGCGGGTATGTCAACATAGACGAGTAGATTACTTCGTTAGAAGAGCCTTATGAATTGATGACTGAATAACTGAGATCATTGGACGCAAACACAAGACAAAGCATAATCAGGATTTCATGTCTATGCGAATCATTAAACCAAATCAGACAATTATGAATCAACCTCCATGGACTCGCCCTCCGCTCCAGCGGACTCACGCTGCTCCAGCACCTCAAGCAGCGCAGCTGTGTCCTGGCCCTCATACAGCTTGAAGCTCTCCTTCTTGCCATTAATCACACCGACGACACCAACGGAAGTATTGTCAATCGTAAGCTCCTTATCCTGAGACAGCGTCTCCTTTAGCGCGCTCAACCCATGCTGGATCAGCTCGTCACGACTGCAGTCCTGGAACTTGTCGAGGTTTCGCTCCAAATACGTACGTGCCATCTGCGAACGGGCACCGATGGCACAAGCAACCATCTCGTTCGTCAGCCCAGAGGGTTGGAACTCGAACAGGTGGGGGCCAGCCTCATCAACACCGGCCACCAACAGACCCACACCATACGGCCGTTTCCCGTAGTGCTGAGTGTTGGTCTGCGCGCGGTCGCCGATCTGGGCAACGATTCGGTCCAGCGGGATGGCCCGGCCGTAGGTCATCTTCGAGCCGAGGGATTGCTGCTTCATGAAGTTTGAGAGGACGCGGGCGTCTGATGCAAGGCCGGCGATGGCGATCGCCATGTGCGAGTCGATCTCGATGATCTTCTTCTGGTACGAGGAGAGCTCTTCTGCGTTGCGCTAGAGGGTGCCGAAGGTTAGTTTTGACGGTTCTGTCTGTTCGTTTTATGTTGTAGGTCTGCGAACCTTGAGTCCAACCAGCACGGCATGTGTCTTATTCACCAATCCCACGACAACGGATCCTTGCTTCACTGCTTCCTGTGCATATTCCACTTGAAATATCCGACCCTGTGGAGAGCTGGGATCCTTCGAGTTAGCATCTGATGGATCAGAGGGAGGTCGGGGACCTGATCTTACAAGGTGACGGCATCGTTGTCGTAATTGTTTCTGAACATCGTGGCGGAAAGGGCTGAATGGATATTAAAGAAAACAGAGAAAGCGGATTCTTGTTGATAAACAGAGATTCAGGAACGGCGACTGAAGAATCCGAGGGTTAATTCGGTGATGGAGGGAGAATGGGGAAGCTGGAGCAGGCAGTAAAGTGACGCGGTGTGAAGCATGAGCTGTTGGTGCCTGAGGCGCCGATATCCAGTGACCTTCAGGCGCCAACGTCACTCATTCTCGAGCTCATCTCCAGCTTATCGCTCTACTGTCCTTCTTTGGCTTCGTACGCTCGGCCAATGGGGCTGTCATTTTGATCTGCTCTTGATATTATCTCTTGGTTTCACCCGGTTCAACAACTCCTACCCCTCCCACCTTTAGTCTCATCGATCAGCTTTCGGCGTCTCCGCAATCATGGCCGCTGGACTGAAGACGATCATTGCCCTCTCCTTTGTACGCTTCGTTTCGCTGTCATCCGGCTTCTAAGCATTTTCTAACATCTGACTAGGTCCTTGCAATTGGCTTCCTCCTCGTTATCCTCTCTTCCGCGCTATGGCACAGGTACTGGCCGCTGCTGGTAGTCGGCATCTACGTCGTCGCGCCGCTTCCCAACTGGATCTGCCAACGATGCGCAAACCCAGATGATTTTATGGACAGCTCGAGTAACTCCGCAATGGACTTTGGACGGTTCCTGACCGGATTTTTGGTTCTTACTGGTATCGGTATGTCGTTGGTTCAATAACAACCCCTCTTGTGGGACATATAATCCCTCCATCGCTCAGCTCTTGGTGTCTAGACCATACTATGCCTATACTAGTTATCTCATAGTTGCGCTATTGATGATTATTCAACTGACCTGTCCCTAGCGCTTCCTATCGTCCTCGCCCACAGCGGCGCAATCGAGATCCCAGCAATGATCATGTCAATTTTCGGAGGGCTATTGATTTATGGCACCATTATTAGCTTCTCAATGTTCTTCCAGGAACAGGAAGAGTTCTGATCGCCCAGACTGGATGAGGCGCGGGGTTGCCAAGGACTATACCTATACTGTAGGCCAGTGGGCCTCGCGGCATCCGGCCTTCATGATGATATCTGTTTTTCTACTGTTTCTTTTGATTTCAGCGTATGCTTGATGTGCTATGTACGAGCGATTTGGTGCGGGGTGTGCCTCACTTTAAATGGCGCTCCAACACCTGGCTGTGCTACTCTAGGTGTACTATAACCCAATGGATATAGAGAATTCTTCTGAAAAATGAGGAATCCAAATTCTACTTAGCTTTTTGAAATTCAGAATTCTTCCCTTTTAACTGATATATTTAGTCTGACATATGGTCCACGTGACCGCGCGCGGATTCGGCGCGTCTGCAGAGATTCGGAGATAACAGCAGATCAGTTCGGAAACAACACAACTATACCAAATTGAAACCACTATGCTGAACTTATGAAAGGCCTTTTCTGGATCCAGATAGCAAGATGAATATCTGGTCAGGATCCATTCCCCTCAGCTCGGACTCCAAGTTAGAAGGTAAGCCACACGCGCATATCGCATCCTGTTCCTCGCTGAAGCTAGACTAGGAATTCGACTGGTCGATCCAAATTCTTATTCGCAGTCTGAGCTATCCAAAGAGTCCAATCTCAGTCTACGCAGCTTCGTCAACCCAGCACTCATCCCACTGCATGCACGAGCTGGTCCCAACCTCGAGCTACATACATCCCACGCGGGGACATCAAAATGGCTCCAGAGGAAGCTAACAGGCGCCTTCTGGCTAAACGAAGAAGATCCAGCACTCCAGCAATCCTTCCAATGCCCAGTCGGTCTGCTGGTCAGCGTCGAAGGCAACACTAAATCAGGCAACGCAACCACAACAAGCCTGTTAGTCTACGGCGTGCTATCCAGCGCAGCATCATGCACACGCCCACCTACCCCGCCGCATTCATCCCCTTCCGAGATCCCATGCCACAGCAGTACACCACAGCGTGCTCCCTACGAACTCCGAGTCTACGCCGCACCATTATCAACTTCACGACTCACCCAAGCCCAAGCCTACCCATCTCCACCACCCTCCGACCCAGACCAACCCGTCACCAACCCGCGCTGCGCGGAGTTCCTACCAGACATAAGCTCTCCCAGCCCCAAACGCAAAAGAGTAGCAACGCTCTTCGAGGTAGCCGCACAGCACCACCGCCGCGTCCGCCAACGAGGCGGCGAAGCCGTCTCCCAACTAATGGCATCGTCACGGCCTCCCTCCTCATCACAGAACCTACAAACGCTACGCATCAAGCGCGAACCGGAAGAAGACGGACCCACCCTCCCATCCCTCGACCGAATCGTCTCTCACCGGTCCCGGTCCGTCTCTATTGGGGCAGGCCTACATCGCCCAGGAAGCGGACGCAGCCGCGCGACGCCAGCCCTAAACGTTGATCCGCAAAAGCGCGCACCAACTCCAAACCCATTCTTGGATTCCTGCCGCCGTGGAGCGCAGATATCGCAGGGCCAGGGCCCGTCGTCTCTTTCGGTCTCCGAGGAGAAACCGGTTTTTGCGCCCAGCTCACCGGCTAAGGATCCAGATATTGTGATTGCAGAGAACAAGAATCTCATCACACGCACGATCTTGACCTGTATGCGTCTGTATGGATTCCATCGCGCGAATATGCGCTCTACGTCAATGAGTAAGCCGCCAGGTGGTGCTGGGGAGGCCGACCCTGATGTCTCGGGCGCGACGCCAGCACCGGAAGCTTTACGTGCTGAGACACCGGCGCCGGGTAGCACTGCGGATGATGATGAGTTCAAGGCTATGTACCATGCGACGTACAAAGCTGCTGCTTTTGCGCTCCGGAGGTATTTGAAGCAGGCGCCGGGCTTGGAGCCTTCGGTCTTGCAGAAGGAAAAGGCTATGACTTGTATTGATGAGTTATTGAGGTTGTTCTGCGAGGAGCATTGACGGGGGTTGAAGGTAATGTGGGTAATGGTGATCTTTACGATGTTACGAATGCATATATGGGCTTAGTGCTCAAGGGGCGGTTCTTCTTAGGGTCTTTATTTCGTTATGCATAGCTACAATGATACTTTTCTCTCGATAATGTTTACTTTGTTGTTTACTCATAGAATACCCGTGATATTCTAGATATCTAAGGGGTGTCATAATAGATACTCCTAACTTGAGAAGACGCGAAATGTGAGAATGCAAATGAATTCATGCTAAAGCGCCAATCCCAGCCAAAGATGCGGATGCATATAATGCATCCCGGCAAAATGTCATCAAAGCAAGGAAATCGAGTAGAATACAGAAAGACGAGTTATAAATTGGAACGGTTCACCTCACAGTGCCAGATTGTAGGTGTAGTCATCTTCGATGTTCTGAGAGACCCAGAGGACGATAGAGCTAGATCGGAAATAGCATGTTAGTATGAAAGTACGTCTTGATATCGAATGAAATCGATCCAAATAAGTAAGGCACATACCTGAGCATAACCAGACCATTCGCCACAATATTCGCAATTCCAAAGTAAAGCGTTTGGATGGGATAATCCTTGATGAGGTACTTGAGGACCATAACCGTCTACGGGGAAGCAAGTCAGCAAAGCCTTCCAATACCTACACACCCAATAGGGCAGTAGTAGAACAGTAGGAAAAAGAAGACATATACATACCACACTCCCAGCTAAGCCACCAGCAAGCAAGGCAAAGCCCAAAAACAGCACAAATCTCGCCTTCCACGCAACCCCACTTCCGCTGTAACTAAAGCTATCAGCCTGCAGCCGGCTCTTCTCAATAGAGTTGATAACCAGCATTCCCAGCGCAGAGCAGATACCGGGGATCCAGTCGATGAATTTGATATGCACGTCTGAGCCGTTGCGCGGGCTGCGCGAGAATGAGGCGACGTCAATTAGGAAGAAGAAGCCTGCTGCGAACTATGGTACGGATTTTGTTAGCTTCTTATTGTCTTTTGATTGTTTTGGATTTGGTTGTGGCAGGTATGAGATTCAATTCCATTTCATTTGCTTTACAGTAAGACTTCGAGATTGGGGGTGTCGTGCGGAGGTGGAGGGTGGATCGGATGCGCTGCTTACCAGGGCGCCTGCGACGTAGACGCCGCCATTGCGGACAGCAGAGTTGTTCAGCCACTCTGGCTTGGAGAAGCGGAAGAGTCGATTGCTTGGGCTGTCCATTTTCGGGATGTGGGGGATGGCGTCTTGGTTGGGGGTTGTTGCTGGTGAGAGCTGGAGTCCAATGACGACGTCTGGGTGGAGAAATGTTGTTCCGATATGTCTATGGATATAATCAAGCAAGGGCAACATGAGCTCTAAGTTTTTCATGTAGTAAATTGTTTCTGCTTTTCTTCGAGATCTCCCATTAATGAGCTACAGTATAGCATTTATTAGACCCTTTGGGATATACAGTCCAAATTAGGCAGCATAGGCACCCAAGTAGATACACAGATTCAGGCATCGGGATTTGACATTGGCTGTCGAAACTCGTGATTGTATTTAATGTAGGACAGAAGTCCCTGGGTATGTACAATCCAATATATACTTAGACCACAAGAAAAAATCAGGTTGCTGGATCATGTTGATGCAACCCTAAGGCAACCAAGTAACCAGGAACAGTGCAGAGCCATTTCGGGTATCCGCACATCAAAGGATCGCCAGCATTTACCAGCAGTGAAGCCTAGCGTCGTCATCACAGCGCTCAACGCAGTTGCAGTAACAGCCTAGTTCCCTGTCCCACTGCGAGCGCCAGCCCTCGGCACGACACGAGACCAGTCCGAAGGGACGGGACTCGCATTCGGTGGGTATCTTGCTGCCTCTGTGTCTTTGTGTATTATGACTCTTATAGTCGCTGCTCGCTTCCTTCATGCCGAGGCGTCAACCGGGTGAGACCGCAGCTGATCCATGATAACATCAATGCCGTCCATGTCGGCGGCGTCGGTCTTGTCGGTGGGATAGCCTTCTGGGAGGCTCTTGTTCAGTGCGTCCAAGGCAGGCTGATGGTTACGGACTGCAGAGGAGATGGCGTAAATGGCCTTCTTGCGGGTTGCGGGGTTGGACTCTGTAGTGGCGAGGGTGACGAGTGTAGGAATTTCGTTTAGGTTGACGAGCTGGTGGATGTGTCAGTAACTGTGATTATCATGCGGGTGGGTCAATCGGAGTCTTCCATACCTGATCCTGAGCCTGGGGGTTATTCTGCACGGCCGTTCCCACACACCAGGCCGCCATACGTCTGATCTCGGCCTCGTCGTGCTTGAGCAGCTCGACGAGCGGCTTCCATAGATTGAGCGGTACAAGGTTGTTCGCATTGTCAATTCCCTCGATCAGCTGCTCGAAGTTGTCGAATGCGATCAACTTGTTCTCCAGGTCGGACTCGTTGTCGTGCACGACCTCCATAGCGGCCCGCATCAGGTCGGCCTCGGAAGGGCCGCCAAAGAGTGTGTTGATCATTTGTGGGGTCAGGTTTGACGCAGCTGCCGGGACATTCGGGGCACTGCCCTCACCATCGGCACCTACAGATGCCTGGGAGTTGGCGACACTCCATTTTAGGAGCTTGTTCATTTCAGGGTCCATGGTGGGCTGGCGGGGTAATTGTATTGTCGGTGTGCAGGGTGTATTGGTTTTGGAGAGTGACTAAAGGAGAGCAGAGCAGGAATAAAGTTTAGGCTTGCACTTCAGAAATTGATTTACTGTGTATCACACAGTATTGTTGCAGTCGTGATCTTCTATCAGTACTTTTCTACAGTTGGAAAAAAAGCCCCGCTGACATAATCTGACGTCTCGGCCCCAGAGGGCTCTGGGCGATTCGCGCGGTGACCAGCGGGTTCGATCATGTGACCGTATACCAAGGAAAACGAACTGGACTACATCATAGACAATGTAGACTGTACATTTTGTCTAGAAGATGATAGTCGCAATCCTGACGTTATAAATGGACTTCATGGCTTTTATCCCAAATCGTTGAAATACGAACACTATTGACCACATGTGATTCGATTCTTGGCCCATGTAATGCCACTGACATTCAATCCATATTCGGTTCAAACTGGAAACGTGAAGCAGAGATGCTTCTAGTCACTCATGGAAATACCCGAAATAAGAAGCTTTAGCAGAATGTTATCACCAAGTCTTGCTGGCATGAGTGTGATTTCCAGTGGCTCATTAGTAGTCTGCTGGAACGGTTGAGCGGATAACTTTGAGAGCAGATAGGAATAAACTGACCCTCATGTCCCGGATTAGCTGCGTTATATCATGACACAACTGCCAATTTCCATTGTTTCCCTGGTGGCTTATCAAAGTATGGAGTACCTTGGAATGTACTAGAATTGGGTTATCAAAGTCGGGTGCCAAGACATATCTCAAGGGGCTTAGTTCAGTTTGGATGAACTTTGTTGCCGATGGAGGGGTCAAATGGCAATATTTTGTGCGGAGATGGCCAAAGTGGGCTGACTTATTCCATTCTAATAAATTAGATCATAAAATAAGACAAAGTCAGGGGTGGTGGTAAATTCGGGGAAAAGAGTACAATTCGTACTTCGCAGTATATCACGTGGCACCACCTCATCGCCTCACCGCCTCACCATTCCAAGGCTTAGCTGTTCTCCTTGGGAGGGAAATGGCGGTAACAACCTGGGGCAGATAGAAATTGTCCAGTCTTGAAAGTCTGAGACTCACCGTATTGTCCCCGTCTTATATTGTACAAGGTGTTAACTGGTTTGCGTGTCCACTTCCAATAACCTTGGAACGGGTACCCCAATGACTTGAAGTCTGGGTCTGTCCTATACTTAGAACATCGACGCCACGGGGGAATCCAGCAGCCTACGTAGGCACTTGGACTACAATTGTATGCCTTGTATTGCTGACACTTGCATCGTATAATAAATGTAATACAAGTAAACACCTAACCCGGTCAAGGTACGTGTTCCCCCGTACCCAGAAGGGTCAAGGCTCCCCAAGAATGTCCACGCAATGCTTTAGGTAGACATTGAAGGAATCAAAGGCAGTGAGAAATTGGAATTGAAAATAGTTCTGCCTTATTCTTATTAAGGTATAAAAATGGAAAAGAAAGTACAAAACCTGTAGATCGGAGGGGGTTCAAAAGAGCAAGGCCTCAGGCAGCGCACAATCCCAGCCATCACAAACCCCTCTCCACTCTTCTCTCTCACTCTCTTCCTTCTTCCTTTCTCCCTAATCCCAACTATATCCCCTCTAACCTCATTCCATCTTTCTTTTCTTTTTCCCCCCTTCTCCCCTAGGTTCCTTGTTTAATCTGTCACAATGGAGGGTATGTTATTCCAGATGTGGCCACATCAGCAGCTTCCCCGGAAGCTGCCCCCCTGTTGCCACAGCTTCGATTCCATATTTGCGCATGACAACTAACCCGTCTACCTCATTATAGAAGAAGTTGCTGCTCTCGTCATCGACAATGGGTATGTGCTATACTTTCCCCCCGGAGCTTCTGGCTTGTGTTTGGGCCTGGTCGCCAAACCAGCCCGGTCGCGGTCGTTGCCACCCCTAATCCCCTATCCGCCCGCGACGGCAGATGAAATCCATCCCAATGGCTTTCCATCTCGCTCCACAACTACCAGGGGACGATCCAAAGACTAAAGAACTATGATACTGATGATTTGTGATATAGTTCGGGTATGTGTAAGGCCGGTTTCGCCGGTGACGACGCACCACGAGCTGTCTTCCGTAAGTCCAACCCCACAGAATATGACACCCCTCCCTTGCGAAGGCCGCCATCCCACCAACCCTTGCGTCGGATGGCTTCCCCTCTTTTGCTTGGCTAGGAAGAACCTTGAATCTAAGAATCAAATAACTGACAAAATTCAACAGCCTCCATTGTCGGTCGTCCCCGTCACCATGGGTAAATAATCCGCCCCCCCCCTTTTTTGGCTCTTTTTTGGCTCTTTTTTTTCGCTGTATACGCCATATACAGCCAATTTGATCCTTAATGAAGCAAAAGCAATACTAACATGGGCGCAGTATCATGATTGGTATGGGTCAGAAGGACTCCTACGTTGGTGATGAGGCACAGTCCAAGCGTGGTATCCTCACGCTCCGTTACCCCATTGAGCACGGTGTTGTCACCAACTGGGACGACATGGAGAAGATCTGGCACCACACCTTCTACAACGAGCTCCGTGTTGCCCCCGAAGAGCACCCCATTCTCTTGACCGAAGCTCCCATCAACCCCAAGTCCAACCGTGAGAAGATGACCCAGATCGTGTTCGAGACCTTCAACGCACCCGCCTTCTACGTCTCCATCCAGGCCGTTCTGTCCCTGTACGCCTCCGGTCGTACCACTGGTATCGTTCTTGACTCCGGTGACGGTGTCACCCACGTTGTCCCCATCTACGAGGGTTTCTCTCTGCCCCACGCTATCTCGCGTGTCGACATGGCTGGCCGTGATTTGACCGACTACCTGATGAAGATCCTTGCTGAGCGTGGTTACACTTTCTCCACCACCGCCGAGCGTGAAATCGTCCGTGACATCAAGGAGAAGCTTTGCTACGTCGCTCTCGACTTCGAGCAGGAGATCCAGACCGCTTCCCAGAGCTCCAGCCTCGAGAAGTCCTACGAGCTTCCCGATGGACAGGTCATCACTATTGGCAACGAGCGCTTCCGTGCTCCTGAGGCTCTGTTCCAGCCTAACGTTCTTGGCCTTGAGTCTGGCGGTATTCACGTCACCACCTTCAACTCCATCATGAAGTGTGATGTTGATGTCCGTAAGGATCTGTACGGCAACATTGTCATGGTAAGAAAATGCCTCCAGAGTTGAACTTTTGCAAGATCCCCACTAACATATAACTCTTTTCTTAGTCTGGTGGCACCACCATGTACCCCGGTATCTCCGACCGTATGCAGAAGGAGATCACTGCCCTTGCTCCTTCTTCCATGAAGGTCAAGATCATCGCTCCCCCCGAGCGCAAGTACTCTGTCTGGATCGGTGGATCCATTCTGGCCTCCCTGTCGACCTTCCAGCAGATGTGGATCTCGAAGCAGGAGTACGACGAGAGCGGTCCTTCCATCGTTCACCGCAAGTGCTTCTAAGCTTCTTGCAGCACTTTACTACTCGTATTCGCTCGTACTTTCCTGGTGTATCAAAAAGCAGGATGGGGGCACTGGTGGATTGCAAGCGTTGTTGGACTCGCATTATCAAGCGGATAGCCTGAAAATGGAATCTCGATTTTAGTGGAATAGAGTCGGTCGTTTTCTTTTTGTTACTCTTTACCTTACTCTTTACCTCGATCTCTCTATCCATCCATCTCTGCTTTGAACCATTTTACCTTTACGCTTCCATTTTTCCCCCTTTCCTCATTTGAATCCGCTGTCCCGTCCACCTCTCTGATTGTTTTGCCTGGACGGGTCTCTGGCGCTACGGCGACAACAGTGTACCTGTAGGGCGAGGATGTATATGGAGTTGGTTGGCTATAGGGATTAGGCTGCGTTTTCCTTTTCTCTCGACGTCTTCTACGTCTTTTGTTCTGGCCCCTTGCGTTGTCTTCACTAAATTGCCCGTGTCCGTAGTTTTTAACGTGACTTTGACTTCAAATCTTCCACTGCTTCCTTGTATTCTGCTAAAAATGCTGAAATATCCAACGCTTGTTGAATCGTGTCTTCTATGTACGACCGACTTGCAAGAGCCTCATTTGTCTTGACCTTTCCAACGTCTAAAAGAAGTGTCTGAGAAGACATCCAAAGAGACCTTAGGGAAGTCTACTAAGCGCTTGCCAAGACCGGATTAACCGATGTAGGTCTTTTCTGTCATTCAATCATTCTATAAATATAGACATGCTGGGAATATGTAGGCATGGCAAGATACACTGACACGGATTATGTATGTACTTTGATCTAACTAACTAATCTTTTTCTGCTCGTCCAGTCTGTGGCAATACCTAGCATGTAATCGGTGGGTGGATTCTTATATAACCTGATATTACTACCTAGTTAGGTAGCCTCTGGCTGCTTCGTGTAGAGACCCATATAATTATACGGGATCTTGTAACTTATGTAGTAATCGCTAGATATATGGATACAATGTATATATAGAGAGAGGAAACAAGTTAGGATACGACCTACTGGGTCCATAATATCCTAGAACTTCTTCATTCAATAGCTAGGAACAGAACTAGATGTAGATGACTGTCATTGCGACGAGGATCCCAGCCTAATTCCTCAGAAAGCACGGATGATAGTCCGCTGGCTGTCATTGCTGGCATTGAGCCTGTGGATAGTATCATGGGCAGAATCGAGCAGGAACTGGTTTATGCCAGCGGAAGGGAGGTTAGGAGTTGGTGTGAGAAGGATAGGAAATGGATTCAGGGAGAGAGAGGTTTGTATGAGAGAGGTGTAAGGTGAAGGCGGGTTGGAGAAAAAGCTAGGTGGGAGTTACATATGTAGAATGGAATTCTTCACAGTATATAATTTCATGCATCATGTAGGAAAATGTTAGCTCTGGACACATCCAAAAGCCCTATATTATGATGGGCAGCCCCAAGCAGAGAAGAAAAAGGGGAATACGAAGAACCAGAAAGCAGTAACAAAAAGAGATCTATAATAGATAACCCAGGCAAATCATTTTCTCCATATATAAAGCATCACGCATCAATATCAAATTTTTTTCGTCAATATCGTAGATATTTACGCAGACCAAGACTCAAGTCCAGACAGCACACAGCCTTCTTCACCCTCGGCGCGAGCACGCAGCTCACCAACGCGGTAAACAGACTCACCAGCAGCCTCGAAGGTCTGACGGATACCGGCCTCAGAGGCAGGATCGACGGCAATAATCATACCAACACCACAGTTGAAGGCACGAGCCATCTCAACAGAGGAGACATTACCGGCACGCTGGAGCCAAGTGAAGACAGAAGGCTGGGCCCAGGTGCTAACGTCAACCTGAGCAGTGAGGGTGTCAGGCAGCATGCGGGGGATATTCTCAGTGAGACCACCTCCGGTGATATGGGCGAGACCCTTGATGGCAGAGCCGTGGGCGTTCAGTGCGCTCAGAATGGACTTGACGTAGATGCGGGTAGGGGTGAGGAGGGCACGGCCGACGGAGACGCCGGCGTCAAGACCGGGCATGGAGAAAGGTGCGGGGTCTGTATAGCTCAGGCCGGCACGCTCCACGATCTTCCGGACGAGAGAGTAGCCGTTAGAATGAGGCCCGGACGAGGCGAGGGCGAGAAGGACATCGCCAGAGCGCATGTTTTCTGTGTGCGGGAGGATGGCACGAGCGTTGTCGCCCGTGGTGTTGATAGCGCCGACGGCGGCACCGACGGCGTCGTAGGAGTCGTCGACGAAGAGGCCGGGCATCTCGGCGGTCTCACCGCCGATCAAGGCGCAGCCGGCTTGCACACAGCCCTCGGCAACACCGGTGACGAAGGCCGCAGCGGTGGGCACGTCAAGGTGACCGCAGGAGTAGCAGTCCAGGAAGAAGAGGGGCTCGGCACCCTGGACGACGAGATCGTTAACGTTCATGGCGACGAGGTCAATGCCGACGGTGTCGTGGATGCCGACTGAGTGGGCGATCTTGAGCTTGGTGCCGACTCCGTCAATAGCTCCGATTAGAGTTGGCGAGTGAGGGTGGTAGGTGGAGTTGGCAGCGGGCAAAGAGAAGAGGCCACCGAAGCCGCCGATGACGGCGTCAGTGCCGGGGCGCTTGGTGCGGCGGACGGAGCTCTTGATCTGGTTGACGAGCTCGTTTCCGGCGTCGATGGAGACACCAGCCTGGGCGTAAGTGAGCGAGGTGTTGGCGGTCTGGCGGAACGCGCGGTGGGCAATATCCTTGCGGTAGAACATATCCTCAAAGCTGATGGTCTTGATACCCTCGTAACTCTTGGAAACGGCCTCCTCAAGGGTCGAGGCGGTGGCCGTTGAGGCGATTACACGGCCTCCAGAGGTTTGCAACTCGTTGCCAGACAGAGTTGTGCCAGCGTGGAAGATGAGGGTTCCAGCAGGCTCGGGGGTCAGAGTGATGGTCTTGCCCTTGGCGTAAGCGTTGGGGTAGCCACCAGCAACAGCAATGACGGTGGTGGAGAAGTTGGGCTCGATCTTGATCGAGACACCGTCCAACCAGTGGTCAGCACAGGCTACCATGATCTGTGCAAGATCGGTGTCCTTGCTGAGCAGGGGCAACAGAGTCTGGGTCTCTGGGTCTCCACCGCGGACGTTGTATTCAAGGACCTTGGGTCCGTTCTTCGTCATCATGAGACCGGTGAACAAGATACCAACGAAGGGGAAGCCTAGACAGTATTAGAAACATGTTTTGTGAATGTATATGTTAATCAAACGTACCATCCTTTCGCATTCCGTCAACAGAAGGCTGGATGATGGTCCGGTCAATCTCATCCACAACCTCCTTCGGCGCAATGCGCGTAGGCGCATAGCAGCCCATACCACCAGTGTTGGGGCCCTGGTCGCCATCGAAGATGCGCTTGTGGTCCTGCGCTGGAGGAAGCGAGCGAATAGTATAACCGTCACTGAAAGTGAGGATACTCAGCTCATCACCCTCCAACCACTCCTCGATGACTACCTCGTCGCCAGCCTTGCCAAACTGGTGGTCCAGCATCATTTCCTTCAAGGCCTTGTGGGCCTCCTCCTTGGTAGTGGGCATGATGACACCCTTACCACCAGCCAGACCATCTGCCTTGATCACCACATTGTGCGACACAGAGTCGAGGTAACGACGTGCGGACTCGTAGTCAGAGAAGTTTCCGAATTCGGCGGTGGGAATCTGGTGTCGCTGCATGAAGTCCTTGGAGAACGTCTTGGAGCCCTCCATGCGGGCAGCAGCCTTGGAGGGACCGAAGCATCGAATGCCGACTGTTTTTAGAGGGCATTGTTAGAACTATCCAAAACAATTGGTGCAAAGGGAAGAAGAAGCAACAGGGAAAAAAAAAAAAAAGGTGGCATGCGTGACTC